AGAAGACATAGAGCACGAACAATGAAGAAGCAAAGAGCAAACTAAGGGCAAAAAAATAAATAAATAAATTTTCGTACTATCTTTGAAATTACCCATATCTATAAAGAGGTTGTTTCTAAGAGACTCAAACAAAAAAAACTTATCGTACTATTTTTAAAATTAGAAAAAAAAAAGTTCAAACCTTTAACATAGTTTAATAATTAAACGTAAGCATAAAATTAAGTCACTGTCATATACAGAGCAATAAGGATAAGATACACAGCAGTATAGCACCCTACAATAACACAGTTCATTATTATAAGCTATAAAGCATGAAGTAAACAAGTAAATTAGTGATCAAAGTCAAAAATATTAACAGGTAAAAGCGGATTAGAGAATATTAAAAATGAAACAGATAAAATAAAAGACATCACTTACCCTCAAGAAGAGGAGTGCTTGCCCTCGCACTCAGGGCTCTCGTAGAAATTCTTAGACGGGTATTTGGCGGTGACCATTCCAACCTCGAATACCAAGTTCTCGCCGCTGGATCTGATTCCGGTAATGCCCCACCACTTGAAGAAAGCCCTAACGCTAATCCCGTCGAGCTCGGAGATGCGATTCTGGACAATCTTACCGGTGATTTTCTTCGAATAAGTTGCCAGGTAGTTGTCCGGAGGGAGGGTGATGCGGCACTTGTCCCCGATGAAAACCGCGAAGTCGCCGGAGGTCTGGTTGAGAGTGTGCCCTAGGACGTTTTTCGGGAGGAGTCCTATTGGAAATCCGTACTTGATTAGCTCGTCGTGGGCTAAAGATGGACTTGAATTCGGGTTGGGATCGTTGTTGGCGTGGGACAGATTAATGAAGAGAGCAACAGCGATGAAGTAGAAGACGAGCGGTTTCGCCATTTTCGAGCTGGTAGCGAGAGAAAGAGAGTATTGATGGAAAAAAATCACTAGGACATCCAGTTGTGAAGGAGATTTGACTACACAATTATGAACTAATGACTTATGAGTGGGTAGGAGGCTTGACCGGCTTGATGGGTGCCACATAATCGGGTAGATGAGACATTAAAAAATGGAGAATATTATGGGTACTCTAGTAGGTTTACACAAATATTAAGTGTCTGTGTCTGTCTGTGAATGCTTTGATGTGCAAATGGATATACCACAAAGAGGTATCCTTAGCATTACTCAAAAGAAATTTGTCCAAAAAATGAAGGCATTTTTATACACCTAAGAGGATGTTTTTTGGAAATCGGGCTTCGTACAATAGTAGAATAGGAGTAGGACAAGGATACCAAACCTTTTGATCGGTAATCGCCTTCCCTTTAGTTTTACGAAACGGTCTCAAAGCGCCTTTTCGCCTCTTCAAGTCACTCAACCAACGTACGAAGTGATTTTTTGAAAAAGTAAAAGTTCTAAATCAAAATTAGCACTACAAAAAAAAGGAGGCAATACCGACAGGGGTCAATATGTCGCTAAAAGTTGAATATATGTCGCTACTCGCTTTTACCGACAGATAATTGTATGTCGCTACGTTGTCGCTAAAAACTCGTCAGTAAAAGTATTACCGACAGATAAAATATACTGTTGCTAAAATAGTATAATAGCGAAAGACCAAAGATGTCGCTAAAAAAGAGAGGAGTACCGACAAAACATATATGTCGCTAAAACATGGATTACCAACAAAAAATAATGTGGGTAATCCTTCTTTTCTGTCGGTAATACCTTGTTTTTACCAACATTAACATTTACTATAACTGTCGTTAAAATTTGGATCACCCACAAAAGCTTGTGTGAGTAAAACATTTTTTCTGTCGCTAATAGTTTATTTTGACCAACACTAACATTTATTATAACTGTTATTAATACCATATTTCACATCAGTATGCTCTATTTAAGTGATATCAAAGAATTTCATTGACAAATAAAAAATAATACCCATTAATTACCACTAAATGAACAAGGTGACCATTAAGAATTGTTACCCATTACCATGCATTGACATCATATTCGATCAGCTCAGAGGAGCAACAATGTTCTCCAAGATTGACTTTCGATCATGATATCATAAAATCCAAGTTAAGAAAGAAGACATCCCAAAGACTGAATTTCATACTTGTTATGAATACTAGAAATTCACGGTAATGCCATATATTTTAACTAACGCATTATCGATATTCATGGATTTTATAAATAGTGTATTCTGGTCTTACTTAGACCTGTTTGTAGTGGTATTCATTGACAACGTCTTAGTTTACTTGAAAAGCTAGAAGATCGTGTGAACCTCTTGCAAATTATGTTTGATATGTACTTGTACGCGAAGATATCAAAATATGAGTTTTATTTGGTTGAAATAGTGACATTCTTGGGACCTGACATTTCAAATGAAGCCATCAATGTGAATGCAAGTAAGATTTTAGCATCACAAAATGGAAGACTTTACGAAATACTTGATAGTGGAAGAGTCTTCTCGGATTATATAAAAATTATCATTAGTTCATGCTTGGGTTTTTTCAAAAGCTTCCCCCATTGAATAAAATTCAGAGGAAAAGTATTAGATCTTACTGGATTGAAACTTGTCAAGAAAGCTTCAAATGGATGAAGAGATGCGTATATATAGGCACCATTGTTGGCACGATCAATATTGGGTGTGGATTACACGATCATTAGTGTTAATGCGAGAGGTTAAGACTAGGGAGTGGCCTACGCATCACGACTCTTGAAACCTCAAGAAGGTAGTAGTCGTTACATTGAAGATTTAATGTCATTACCTATTTGGAGAGCGAGCATCATTTGCATAACCTACAAAAGTCTAAAGTATTTACTCACACGAAAGGAACTGAACTTGAGACAGAGAAGATGGTTAGAGGTGATAAAGGACTATGACTAATGCATTGATTACCACATTATTATGATTTTAGTTGGAAGTTGAGAGCAGACTCCGACTATAGCCAACTTTAAAAAGTGATATTCTTGTAACATAGAAGACTTGTGAGCTTGTTACTAAGGACGAAAAACATTACTTTACCATGAGTGAGGATGGAGCCTTATTATATTAAAATTGCTTGGTAGTGCCGATTGGAGACATGAGGTAGGCTCTATGCGAGTACAACATTACACCCTCATATAGATGATTTATCTTAGAGTGATTAAATCCTAGATGATATGAAGAGCGCTTTGACTTTAGTGGTAGTTGGGGGTAATGTTTGCCATTATTGGAATTCACTTACAACAATAATTTTAAGCTAGTATTCAGATGGCTCCGTACAAGGCATTGTACGAGAGACAATGGAGAACCCCTTTTATTGCGCTGAGTAGAGCGAGATGAAGTATACCACTCTGACCCTCACCTAGCTGGAAATGTCTTTTCATAAGATTGTAAACTAGTCCCATAAAACAATAAATGTCTTTCTTGAAAACTTTTTCCTCACTCATACGCCCAGGGAATTTCTAGAGGGTAACCCATCATAAAATTGCTCTAAGTCAAATACGTTAACTTTGAAATTTCTAGGTGATGAACTTTCAAAAAAAGATGCATATTATTGGTATGAGTAGTTTATCATTCTTTGGAGCTTTTTTTAATTTCATGTTAACACAAGGCATTAATACATTCACCTCACGTAGGAACGCAACATCCTTGTTGCACCCTTCTCAAACTCCTGGATCTTCCCCGCTAGGTGAATTAAGCCCGTTGGCCCATCAGGGTCACAAGGTTACTGTGATACCATTTGTAACACCTTAGCCGAAAGTGTCTACTTATATGATTGTAGATTGTCCACACAAACTAACATAAGTTGTTCCCGCATATATTTTTTCCTTACTCGTACACGCCAATGGAATTTCTGGTCACCCATCATAAAATTACTCCAAGTCAGACACATTTGACTTTGGAGTATCTAGGTGATTAGCTATCGAAAATAAGATGCATCTTGTTGGTATGAATAGTATTATCAGTTATTTTGAGCTCTTTTTAATTTAATATTAATACGGGATATTACGTGAAGCTCGAGGGGTCTAACTTGGTTTGAGAGACCGATGAGAAGGTTTGAATGATCAAAGATAGACCACACATTACTTCAAATCATCAAAAATCCTACGCCAACCTTACGTGACGTGAGATAGAGTACGACATGACCGATATGGTGTTCCATAAAAATTCATTTTGGAAGAAAGTCATGAAATTTGGGGAGAAGATAAAGCTTGTCCTAGATTTATTGACCGGTACAAAGGTTCTTGTGGGACCAATCATGGTGGAGGTTCTAGTCTTCCAGATGTACGAAAGTTCTTGTTAAGGGCATGCACGGTTGGGTTGCTTGATCGCGTGAGGCAATATACGTGAAAAAGAGGAGTACGTGAATCAGCCATTAGAATGGTGGTTGGGGGAAGCGTTGAAGCTCAAATAATTTTCTCTTGAAAAGGTTTGTCTTATAATACTCTAAGACACTGGAGTTTGCAGTATTAAGAATTAAAATAATTACAATAAATGAGCCTTCCAGGTCCAAGGGGGTCTTGGATCAAGCTTAAATATCGACCATACAGTCAACTTTGAATATAAAGAATAGTATAGTCCAGACATGTTTTAATTATTGAATATGCATCATTGACCAAGTCGTTGACCTAAGTCAATCAGTTCGACTTTTAAACCCTTCTCTCAGTAATTTATTCAATTTGACACCCAATTCAATTTCCAGAAATTGCTCCTTGCCCTAACATCACTCTCTCATGGACCCGTACCCCTCCTCTGGGTGCTTTATTCTTCGAAATAAGTTTTTTCCATTGAAATGAGAGGATTGCTGGGGAACACCACTTGAGATACACTACCTGTACATCAAGTCTAAAATATCTGTGTACATAGATATTTTTGTGTGTAGTTATTTTTGACTTGAGTCTACTCAAGCTGCCGGACACAAATGTGTTCACCAAGATCAAGAATTCAAGACACAAAGCTGTAGTCGCCTTGCAGGACTGGTGGGTCGGTCAAATTCAACGGTGGTTTCTAGTAGCCTGACCCAATGAATCCATACTTTTCTCCTCCCCCCTTTCTCTCTCTCTCTATCTCTTCAGAGAAAAGCACTCTGAGCTGTAATCGTCGTCGTATCCAAAACTGAAGATCTGTAGAACTCTGTCAATTTATCTCCCCTGCTTCGGATATCCCCTGCTTGGATTTCCGTTACACGCAAGTATTCATTTGTCTTTACGTTCGCACTTTGTTTTCATGTTCCCTGATTCTGCTCCGCCTTTTCATTCATTGCCAGCTTTGATTGCTGCAGTTGTAACTGCAATCAGATCTGGTGCTCCCAAACCTTCGAGCTCTGAGGATATTTCTGTTCATTTGGTGGGTTATTCTGCTTTTTTATTTTTGAATTTTGAATTTCAGTTCTTCTGTGGTAGCGGGCTGAGCGGAATTGGGCTTTGATTGGCGTGGATATGGCGAGCCGGTTCAAGGAGGACGAGAAGAACGAGAGAGCTATTCGGAGTCTACTCAAGCTGCCGGACAACAGGAGGTGTATAAACTGTAATAGCTTGGTACGTCTGGTCATGAAATGAGCTTCCTCGATTTTAATTTGTGTGGCTTGATTATTTTATGAGGAATCTATATGGTTTGATTTGGATTTTGTGATGTATGCATTTGTGAGCCACATTGAAGCGCTTGATTGTGAACAATATCTGCTGCATTTCACGGTTGACTTTCTTTCATAGGGTACATGGTAGGAAAAATGATTTCTTTTTTGAAATTAAGTGTAGGTGTTGGGTACTCGATTCTAGAAACTTTTCAGTTTTCAGAGCGGTGACCACAATTCATATGGCTTTGATATGCTCTGTTCAATTCGAATGCAAAATTTGCAATGAGAAAACCAGTTCTTGGCTATTAAATAATTAGATTTTTTTTTAAAACCAAATTTTGTTTCCCCTTTCGTGAGAGTAAAAGAGAGGAGGCTCTATGGTTCCACATGACTTCTAGCCCCCTGTCATTAACGCCAATGGGTGTAGCCTTCAATTGCTGGTATCGTTAATTTGTAATTACAACATTATGCACTAATATAAATTGCACATTTGCACCTATGCAGGGGCCTCAGTATGTCTGCATCAACTTCTCGACATTTATTTGTACAAACTGTAGTGGCATTCAGTACGTCTACTACTAGATTATCTCAAAGCATTGCCACCTCTCTCATCCACTTTACCCCTATAGAAGGGTTTCAATCTCTTGACATGCTTCCTGTAATTGTCAGACTTTCTTCGTTTACTAATATATGAAGTTGGAAATGTTTGCAGTCGGGAGTTTACACACAGAGTAAAGTCAGTCTCCATGGCTAAGTTTACTTCACAAGAAGTCAGTGCACTACAAGGCGGTGGAAATGCAGTATGCTCAACTACGAATCATACATTCTCAAGTTCTCAACTTTATTGTAACTTGGTCGTCGGTCCTTTCTTTCTAGTAGTCTAATGCGAAGTAATTTTTTTTCTCATGCGTACAGAGTGCAAAGGAAATTTATTTGAAGGAGTGGGATCCACAGCGCAATTCTCTTCCCGATGGAAGGTTTAATATATTTGAACGTTTATGAATTTATGCACATTAATATTGTTCTAAATATAAAATGCAGTTCTGCACATTGGTTTCTTTCAGTAATGTGGAGAGGCTTCGTGATTTTATTAAGCATGTCTACGTGGATAGAAGATACACAGGCGAGAGAGGGTTCCCGAGAGGAAAGGTGTTGTATATGTCGTCTTTGCATTGTTTTGGTTTCCAATTTGCACTTCAATAGTTCTTTAGTTATTTTCGTGCTTCCTTTGTGGTCCTCAAAATTAATTTTTATTGTTTGAGCTCCTTGCACATGTTAACTTCAAGAAAACTTAAGGCGTATTTATATTCTGTAGGGTGAAACTGAGGACATAAATGAGAACAAGAGGGTGGATACTTACCCGGGTAGTGCACAAAGCTCAGGTGGACGAAGCCCTGGATATGATCAGGAAATCCGGCAGAACACTGATCACAGGAAAAGTCTTGGTAGTGGAGTAATAAACGATTGGAGACGGGAGGATAGATTTGGGAATGACAGGAGATTAGAAGGAAGTCGAAGTTTTGATGGTGGTTCTAAGGTTGATATCAAGTCACCTGATCGTCGAAGTGATTTAGGCACACCCAGCCCCCCAATGGTTCGACCAGTACGAGATATTCTTGGAGACAATACTTCCCCACTTCGAGTTATTGAACCTCCAAAGGTTTCTGTTGGTGCCCGGCAAACTGATGCTCCTGCTCGAACTCAGGTATGTATTTTTTTGGATATACAGATGAATTGCAGCAAACTTACCCATTCACAATCAACTTACTAGTGTTAGAAGAAATCAGAAGTCTGATATCTGATTAATAGATGATTTACAATTAAAGTATTAAATGATACGTGTAGCTAATATTTCCAAACAACTCTAATTTCTAGCACTAAATAGCAAACTGATTCTATCGGAAAAATCTACAACCACGAGCCACTAACAAATTAACAATTTAACTAGTCTGTTATTGTTCAATGAATTTATAGGTTAATTTTTTTCTTTCGTCCATATACTACTCAATAAAGCATAGTTTATACATTATGCACTATAGCCAAGGATGAACAAATCACTGATTTCAATTGTTAGTTTTCCGGAATTTTGCTAATGGGGCAGGCATTGACACTGATGTGTATTGGAATTAAGTTCTTACAGTTTTTTTTGTCAAAATCTTGAAAATATCGGTGAAATCTCATTTTAATTTTGAGAGCAGTTTTTTTACATTCAAGTACCTGAAAGTATTTGGGAGATATCCTTAAAATAAGAGATATATGCCAACCAATTACAATTAAATACATACACACATATATATATGTGTATATATGTGTGTGTGTGTATATATATAGAAACACACACATACAACAACAACAACAACAACCCAGTTAAATCCCACAAGAGCTGGGGAGGGTGTGTGTACGCAGACCTTACCCCTACTCGAAAGTAGAGAGGCTGTTTCCAAAGAGACCCCCGGCTCAACGTCGAAAGTTGCATTGCTTGACTAACTGCTACTTCATTAATTAAAGAAGCGCAGATAGTTTAGAGATCCATTTTAATTTATTCCATCACACCCCAAAGCCAAAAAAAATGGTGAAATTTTGGCTCCATCGGAGATGATGGAAAGACACACATACATACATACTAAATATATGTTCTGCTAATAGTACTGTCATTTACGTTTAAGTTATTCGCAAAATTTCACAGAGAATTTCATTGTTAGCATGATAGACCTTCAATGACCTCTAAACTTCTGATTACTTTCTAGCATTTTTGCGAGTGAAATAGGAATAATAATTAGCATTTGTGCACCACTAGTTTTGTATTATAACCCGTATCACAATAATATCAACAATAGAGGGTAAATTTCAAGAATAGTACCTGTCACGAAAATTTCAATTTGGTACCTGAACTTCAAAACTTTTCACAAAAATACCTGAACTTTTACCATCCTTTCACTAATAGTTCATTTGCCCATTACCAGGTGACCAGCAGGTCACTTTGAGCCAAATTGCAAAATCTGAATTTTTATTATTTCACGTTGACTCCCATTTCTCCCTTTTTCTTTTTCTTACACTCCCATGATTTATATTCTTTTCTTTTAAAACCCACTTCCCTTTCTTTCTCTCCTTTCTTTTTCCCCCTCTTTTCTTTTATTTTTTGTTTTTTCTTTCTTTTACTCCATCATCTCCGATGGAGTCAAAATTTCACCATTTTTGGCTTTGGGGTGTGATGGAATAAATCAAAATGGATCTCTAAACTATCTGCGCTTCTTTAATTAATGAAGTAGCAGTTAGTCAAACACTGCAACTTTTGATGTTGAGCCGGGGCTCTCTTTTGAAACAGCCTCTCTACTTTCGAGTAGGGGCAAGGTCTGCGTACACACACCCTCCCCAGACCCTACTCTTGTGGGATTTAACTGGGTTGTTGTTGTTGTTGTTGTTTTTTCTTTCTTTTCTTTTTTCTTATTCACTATTTTTTCCGTCTTTTTTTTTTGAAAAAAATAGTGAATAAGAAAAAACAAAAGAAAGAAAAAACAAAAAATGAAAGAAACGGAGGGGAAAAAGAAAGAAGAGAAAGAAAGGGAAGTGGGTTTAAAAAGAAAAGAATATAAATCATGGGAGTGTAAGAAGAAGAAAAAGGGAGAAATGAGGGTCAATGTGAAAAAATAAAAATTCGGATTTTGCAATTTGGCCAAAGTGACGTGCTGGTCACCTGGTAATGGGCAAATGGACTATTAATGAAAGGATGGTAAAAGTTCATGTATTTTTGTGAAAGGTTTTGAAGTTCACATACCAAATCAAAATTTTCGTAAAAGTTTAGGTACCATTCTTGAAAAAGTTGAAATTTACCCCAATAATAGGAGTAATTGTTTTGAAAGCATATTTTTACCACTGCTAAAGAGGAAAAAGATTCTCTATCCATCCTACAAAAGTTTTACCACTTTCCTTTTTCATCCGCCCTTAAATAAATTTCTAAATTTTTTCCCTTTCTCCCAAGAAACAAATGTGGGCCAAAACACTTCTCCCCTAAACAAATTCTAACTACTCACTTTTCATTATTCAACGTGTGTCCCTATCTCCGTAAGGTTCCGTGATATTAAAGTTGAAAAAACTAATCTGGGAGGGAGGGAGTAAGAAGCAATAATATGTACGGACTCCCGGAGTACCGTGTACTTCAGTGTTGCCTATCAGTTTCCATCAGTTTTTTTAAAATGTTACTGGAAAGGAAATCGATATCTATATTTCTACCAGTTTTTCGTGAACTCAAATTGCCATATCTACCGATACAGATATTTTCATCCTTGGCTATAGTAGATGCAGAACATTTCGAATTAACACATTTCTTCATTTCCTTGCAGAGGTCTGCTTCCTCCACCAGTTTGGCATCATCAAATAGCAACTCAACGGAAATTAAGGCAGAACCTTCACTAATTGATTTTGAAGCTGTTCCTGAACCCTCTCCAGCTGTTGGAGTGCAACAAACACAACAATTAACAAATGCTACACCTGTAATGCAACCAACTTCATCTGGTGTTGACAATTGGGCAAATTTTGAGTCACAACCAGTGAAAGCACCTTCAAATGCCAATCAGCTGGATGTACTTTCAAAACTGATGAGTCCTGCACCCGCCCCTGCGCAGATGGGTGGGAACCCTGCAAGTTCAGCTCCTGTTGATTTTTTTCCAGCTTCTGGAAGTTCACCTATTCCATCTGATGTTACTCACTTGAGTAGTTTTGGTCCAAGTTCATTTCCTCCCGAACCAACATCCTTATTGCAAGTTGGGAGTACTGTCTCTTTGACCAGTGCTGCTGGACGGAGTGGAGGGCAATGGCCCAGCATGCAACCTCAGCATCCTTCTCTCCCATTGGGCACAGGGACCCAATCTCTCCCTCATCACTCAATTCCAGTTTCCGGTGGACTTCCTAACAATCAGGTATTCAGGTTTGCTCTCTAATTTTTCTTTGAAAATGCAGCATTATACTTTCCTGCTGCGTTCAAATACTCGTCCTTTCTTTTTCCAGCAGTGGAATCCTATAGCCCCCTCTGGAATTTTGAACACATCAAGTGCTCAAGGTCCTCAAGTTGTATCTGAGCATGCCATGGATCCAACTTCTAGAACTGCTGCCCCTGCAGTTGATGTTAAATCCGGCGGGAGAAAAGAGCTTCCTGCAGTAATGCTCGTAACTCTTAATTTGAACTTGTTTCACCTCTAGCACAGAGTATTTATGTTATGATTCATCTGCAGGATTTGTTTGCTGCCACCTATCCATCCATTCATGCACCAGTACAAGGCTGGTATGCTGCTCCACAGCATGGACATGGGTTCTCCATGCAATATAATAATATGCAAATGGTATCAATGTGCAACCCTATGTCCCTTATTGTGCTGGCTGATCCCTCGATAGTTATATATATCCGTTACTGCAAAGTACTTATGCATTTTATATTTTTATCAGCAGACACATACCCCTATGCAGCCGGTAAAATCGTCAAATCCCTTTGATACAACCAATGAGCCATCTCCTTTACAAGCTTCAACAGTGAGCAAACTGAATATTACTGTAGTTCCCACTATTTTGCCATTTGTTCAACTGTTTAAACGGAAGAAATGAAAAACTCACTCACACACACACACTCACACTCTAGGTTTGATGACAATATTTGTTGTGGAAGTAGTCAGAACACTAAGCTAAACAAATTTTTAATTCATTGCATTTATGAAATACGTAGTTAATAACTTATGAGAATCTTTTGTGCCCTTCACTCCATTGTTGCAGTTCCCATCAGTGGCTTCGTTACAAGGTGCATTACCAAACTTGGGCGCTCCAGCCGGTTTTATCCACACGTCCCACCATGGGACTCCACAAATTTATCATCCACACATCAACATGCCCCAACAGCCACCCTCTTATCTATCGGCACACCCTCCAAGTAACCTATTTTTTTCGGTCTTGTCTTGCTTCATTCATATATGTTTTTTCTCCATGTTCTAATTTGCTTCAATTCTCAGATTCATATATGGGCCAACACCTGGCAGCTAGTCTGCCACAAAGGTATTTCCTTGTCTGATCTTTTACCATAACGACTTCCATTCTTAATGGGCCCATCTGTTCACCTTTCGAAATGCCTGCAGACCGTATAACCCAGCAGGGTATGACCTCGGCGCTGCTGCTTTTGCAACCACGAACACCAACCAGCAGATCGGTGGACTACATGCAGCAGCTACACCTGCCCAGAATACATTCTCTCCTGCCGGGAACCCCTTTGGGTGAAAGTCAATTGCCGTTCCCGATTTTTGACATGAGCTTCTTCTTGTTGCTTTGTGTAGGTAAAATGAATTGTTACTAATACAATATATATATATAAAATATTATATTAATCTATAGATATTGGGGTCGATACGAAGTGGGGATTGCTAGCTTCTGTAACTGCCCGGCACTGAAGGAGCAAACTAAAATTAAAGCACAAAAAAAATTGATCCATGGGGGCTAGCACAGCACAGTGCGTATTCATTCTTCTTGCCAAATCATTTCATTTTGTGCTGCAACCATATGTGTATTATTGTTGTAATAGTTTTTGAAGGCCATCCATTTTGGCATTTTCCTCTCTTTTTTCTCCCATTTATATTCATTTGAATTGATTTCAAAATAGGCCTTTTGGTATTCATGCCATTTGTATCAAGTTTCTTTGAGTGGTCAGATTTAATCAGTACAGTTTTCGTTGTTGTTTTATCAATAAGTTTTTGTGGAACGCAATTGTGCTTCAAAGTCAATTTTTATTTTACCTTCACTTATTAGTTTTGCTGTTTCGCACTCGTTGTAGAATTTTGTTCTCTTATTTGGGTGACGTGTTCACCAACTTTTATTTTCAATACTTGCTCTTAGATATCACAAAATAAAAGTCATACTACCCCCCNTTTATTTTGACTTTTGTCACTTCAAGCATAAATCTTTTAATATAATATTTGAGAGTCTATGGTCTAGAATTTTGACATGTGTCACTCTTTAAGCTCTATTTTTTTGACACCTAAGGTGGACACGCGTCGTTCGTTCATATGTGGAGATTTTCTTCGGCGAGATTCTTCCCCAATTAAGCTAATTGCTTTCCAAAATTATTCTTCCCCAATTAAGCACCTCTTCTTCACCAAAGGTAAGTATGCGATTGTTACGAGCTTATAAAAATAACTTTTATTTGAATTGAACTATGAGGCTTGGGTGATTTAAAGAACCTTTTTTTGCTGATTGCACAAGAACAATGAGAGTAGTTGCCTTGAATGATTTTTAAAATCTAAACAAATCAGTGTTCTTGAAAAAAAATTATTGGTTGAAATCTGATGGCATCAACAATTGAGATCCTTCCACTAACACTACCTTTTGTTGTTCTAAAAAAACACTGGGTTTTGCCACATAATCATGAAGAAGCAAAGCTATAAATACTGAGATCATTCCACTGACACTATCTTTTGTTGTTTTATTGTTTTTGGAATTTCACTCTCAAAATTTGAAAATGACATGCAGTTCTGAAAATCAATGTTAAACAAACATACATCAAATGGGTAGTTGTTACAGAGTATTATACTTACAAATAGGTTATCAACCTAAAACATCAACTCACACACAATATCTTATTTTAAATCATGCATCCACCAGATGAAATAGATGCTCATTTTTTGTGAAATCTAAATAGCCATGAGTCAAAACAACTAATGATTGAGGTGCACTGAAAATAACTTATATCATATATTCCATAAGGGATCATAAAAAGAATGCCAAGGAAAAGAAAGATAACCATTTAAAAAGTAACAATCTAACATACCTTAAGGATACTTTTTCTACTGTTTTTGTTCAATTATAGGCTTTGATACGGGATTTTGGATGTTTTAGTCTTATGATATGGTTTAAGCACATGCCACTGGAGCAACTGGAGAAAATATTATTGCTTATGGGATCGAGTGATGTAGCATTCAAGTAGCCATTAGAAGGCTTCCTGTTTGCATTCAGTTCACTTTGTGGGGTGAATGTAAAGTATTTTGTTTGCCATTAGTTATGGCTAGACTACTAATCCTTAATAGTTCATTGGGCAATTGCTTTGTGCTCTTGATTCAACACACAGATGCAACATGGGGTAGAATTTTAGAGGCATTGAAACCCTTCTTAGCTTTCTGTTCTAATTAAAACTAAATGAACAGACACATTCTGTATGGGCAATGAGAGTATTATTGATTTTGTTTATATGGAGTATTTTATTCGTTTATGTTTGTATCAAATCTCTAATTGGTTGGAGTTTATGGCAAATTCATAGTTATTGGAAGGTATATGTTTCAAATGGTAATTCTACCAACATTAATGACAAAGGGATATGTCGGTGTCGTGATGAGAACAACTCTACGAATCTTTAATCCGTTGACTGATGTGTCCTATTATTTGTTTTTCAATAGGTTCTTCTGATGTTAACTGAAAGTTGCCGGAGAAGCAGCAGGTAGAGAGCATATATTTTATAATTTGTATTAATTTACTGCTGGTGTAGTTGGGTTTGGTGTTGCTAGATTAGTTTACGAGCATTCAAGCAATCCAGTTTCTTACTTTTATCACTTCTTTTGCTAACTCTCAACGTCAAATGTATATTTCCCTTTTTTTTGTTTCCATCTCAAATCCCCTAGAGTTGTGTAAGGCCAACAAATTCAATTGGGATGACCTTTGTGAATGCACATTTAAGTAAGAAAAGCTCATTTTTGGGTAGTCTTGCATTAAATTAATCATAGAGATGCCTGAAACAATTTTAGGAAGAGTCTCAATTTCAAGATTAAGGCTCCCATTATTTTATTTTGTAATTTTGTAAACATATGTTAAAATCTATGCCGGACATTGATGTGAAAAATTACTTACTGATGTCAAAGAGAAGCTTGGATTCTTTATTAACTTAAAGCTTAAGGGAACATTGATTGTTTTGATATTGTTACGTTCTTGGTGCATATATTTGTTGTTTGAACTTTTTTTCTTTTTGAGTTAATATGGTACTACGGTTCAATAACAAAATTGCTTGCCCATAAGAAAATTTGTGGACGGGGTGAGAGGTATTTGGCTATAAAAGAATAAATACCTCTTTTGTTCATAATTCTCTTAGGGAAGTGTATTCAATCGGGATTTTATAGTATTTTTTGGATTATAAAAGTCTGTGGGTATTCAATTTAGATTTTAAAAAGTCATTTAAAATCTAGATGTATTCAATTTAAATTTTAAAAAATCTTTCTAAATTTAATGGTATTCAAAAATTGATAGATTTTTAAAGATTTTAAAATATGTAGATTTTGATGGATTTTTAGCCATTGAATATAAATAGAAATTCACTCCCAAATCTCATGCCAGAGGTAGGGATTTTGACAAGATGCTAGGGGTACACCAAATGGTGTACCCTAAATGTACACCACCCACTTCTCCATCACTCATTTTTATTTTATTTTTATTTATTTATTTATTTTTAAATTTTTTGCTTTTTTTTGTGGACAAAGAAGGGGTGGGGTAAATGTATATCCCTAGCATTTTTCTTTTACAATTCCTTCATCGACTCCTCGATTTGCCCGTTACGTCGGGAACAGTGCCGCGGAGGAAATTGAGGCGGCGGAGATCTCATTCCGGACCTCTTTTGCAGCGCACAGTAGATCTCGCGGCGGAAGATGTTAGTCCGGACCTTTTTTTGCAGCCGAAGGTGCCCTCTTCTCTCTGTTCACTGTGATTTTGCAGCCGAAGATGCCCTGCTCTTCTCTCTGTTCGCGGCGGAGGGGGGAAAAGGAGAAAAGAACACGGCTAAACTCCTGGGAGGAAAAAGCAAAAAAAGAAAATAAAAAGAAAAAAAGGAAAGAAAAGAAAAGAAAGGAAAAATGGGAAGAGGAAAGAAAGGAGGCGGCTGAGGTTTTGGGAGGAAAAAAAAGAAAAGAAAAAGAAAAAAAGAAAACATAATCTCCATGGATTATAAATAATTTTCCATAATCTTATAAAATACATTAAAATCTATCTAACTCTGCGTAAATTTAAAATAATACGGAGTACATTAATTTTACAGAATTCATGAATTTTTAACAATCTATCACAATCTTTCAAAATCTAGATTGAATACATCCCCTTAGTGTTGTTTAAAATTTAGTTCTATAGATTGTGTCTTTAAAATTAGTTTTGTAATCCTCTTCATAATGATGAAGTGACTTAAGATAGGTTCAAACTTATAAATTACTTTGTTTAATCCTCTTTGTACTGATGAAGGACTTAGGATAGGCTCAAATTTAGGAAGTGACTTATTCATAAGAGATTAATATTGTTTAATCCCCACAAATGGACTCTTTTCCTTCCTCTCAAATTCTTGAACCATAGTGTAAATGTTTGAGCTTATCTTAAGTCGCTTCATCGTTTGTATGATACTATAAGAGAATTTCCCCTTAGTATATGTATGAGTATTTTTGTTCAGTCTAAAAAACTGCATATTGTCTGTATCTTGATAATTTTGATGTGCCTTTGATATATGAAGAGTTAATGCTTATATTTTGTCAAGTGAAAACATAGGGAGCATTAAGTGGTGACACGCTTGCCAAAATCCCAATGAATTGTAGGTGACATAAATCAATAGAGACACTTTGTGGTGTACTATTTCAATTTCATGTATAAGAAGTTTTATTACAAAATGTTACACTTTGTGTTGTTTAAAAAAACAAAATGTTACTTAATCTACTTTGATGCTAATGTCTGTATTATTAAAAAAAATGTGTTAGAAATACAATTTCTTTAATCTAGAAAAAAAGTTTACATTGAAAAACATTTTTGAATCAACAAACATTTTGTTTGACCCCTGCACGGATTAAATACTAGTTATGAAAAAAACATATTTTGCTATGTGAATTTAATATACTTATTTGGATTTATTTTAAGATGTATGTTTGATATACTTTATCAAGTTTTTTACATTCTGCGATTTTTTTTGAAATGCATACTCCAATACTTCTTTCGCCTTGACAATATTGTATTATTTTATCAAATAATTAACGAAAATAGGCAAAAAAGTAATTAAAGTTTGAACGTGTAAATAGTAATTGGAAAAAATATTTTAAGTCACGGAGTATTTATTTATTTAAATCTATATCTCCGTATTAAATTTGTGGAGAAAAAGATCACAAAAGTTAAATTAAATTGATAATTTAGAAATGGTGCTAGTATTTTGTATTTCTTTTTAAAGAATGAAACTATGTTTTTTCTTAAATACTCCGTAAGTAGTACTACCCCTGTCCAAAATTGAATGACTCGTTTCGGTTTACGATATTTGATTGGATCTATTTTTCATCTAATTTATAAGACAACCAGGTAGAATTATAAAGTAAATTTTATAAATTTAAAAACTACATCAAAATCATGTGGTGACATGACTATTATTTAATCAAATGACTATTGAAATTAAGTAAAAAAATTGAATAAACTTTGACCATGAAAATTGAGGATTACATTAAGATTCTTATGATATTATTTTTAGGTCTCATCTTTTGGCACGGAGTTTCTATTTTACTTGTAGGGGTGGATAAAAGTTACTGACTTGACATTGTTTCGAACCGAACTGAAATGGTACCGAATCGAAGAATGAGTTTTCAATTTTTCTAATAAATTATATTCGGAATCAAATCGTTAACCCCCCTGCTCTCATTGCAAAACTCATTCAAATTGTCTTTTTCCTCTCTTTCAGTAGTAACTATGGTATAAAATGGATTAATGCTTTTCTCATCATGTTTAGTAACAACATAATACTAAAACAAGATTTACAAATCTGACCTCTAAACTGACACTTGGTGTATAGCTTTAGTACTATAAATTTATACTGATGAAGAACCAAAACAGTTACATTACATGAATCCCAACACCAAATTGATTTCCTTTTTTGCCCTTTCTCTTTCTGCTCTTCACTCAACTGATGCATTTCCAGGTTGGACAAAGAATCTCCTCAGGCCAAACACACCTTTTGCTCAGCATTTCATTTCCTTTCATCCAAAAACAAATCAAGTGAATGATTCAATGCCCAAAACCCAAGTTTTTCCCAACGTTTAAATTTCCGTGATGACCGTTTGCATCCGTATCGTAGTGACCTTTGGTCACCCGGTTAGACTTGGGATTCACCCGCTTGTTTCGCCTTCCATACAACTGGAGCAACCAGCATCCATACTGCACAAAAGGTAAAGACATATAACTATTTACCCAATGTAAGTAAATGTCTTTGAAGTATTTATTATATTGTAATATACACTTACTATAAACACAAGCAGCTAGCCACTCATTCACTATCCTCACCCAAGTACTTGTCCAACCAATATCTATTGTAAACCTTCACAAAAACCAATCCAAAACATAATGTGTAGATGTAAGTTCTTTTCAAAAAGGGTAGTTTTGTATAATGCATGTGAAAGAAAAGGGTACTTTTTCATGGAGTGGTGAGCATTCCATCCAATCAATAGCATCGCGAAGTACATGGCGCCGGTAGCAAAGACAAAGTGGAAGAACCCATAACCGTATGGAACGTGCTCCTCTTCCTCGTCCTCTTCGACTACTTGGGTATCCTTGCCAAACTGAAACTTTTGTCGCGAAACAAGCTTTGGGTCACACTTGGCAAAGGCCTTGATTCAGAATCAAAGTATGGGTTTGCATTGTCTTTGGGTGGGTAGAAGCTACAAACCTGAAAGCATTTCGAATCGATCCCCGTGGAAAAAGTCGCAACCACAATTGCAAGCACTGCCACAACAAAGCTCTGCCAAATATAGAACAAGTTATAGTAGTGTTTTTTTAGAGTAGATTCTCTGCAAATTCTTTGGGTGTGAAGAGAGGTGAATAGAGAATTACTATGATAGTGAACACATCTGCTTTCGAAGAAGCAGCCCGGGCCTTTTGAATGCATTTTTCTTCGGGCGGTTCGCTGTGGAAAACCGACAAAAAATAATAATAATGTTGAGAACAAGAAATGAAGAAATGTCTTCTTCTTCTTGTTCTTCCTCGTTTGAATCTCTTACCTTCTGATTGCAGACCAGCAGAGGAACACAATGTAAAGGCCCATGAAACCAGGAGTCAAAAACCCAGCATTCACCTGTTGTTTCCCAAAATGTTTTAAAAAAAACATCTCACATTGGACAGACAGATAGATAATTAGATATGTAACATTAACTAACACAGACTTTGGGCTTACTTCTGGATGGAGAGAGACACTGGTCATAAGTTGGAGAAGCACCAGAGTCCATGAAATGAAGAAAATGTTGAGAAGACAAGACGGCTCTGGCGTGTACCAAATGTACATTAAGATGATCCCAAACAAGCAGACGACGTACGTGACTGTCGAAAACATCATCACGTGAACGTGGCTGCAGCAAAACCTCATTCCCCATTAAAAATCTATTGCTAAAATTATGTTCGGCTCAAGGAATTCGAAAGAAAAAGAAAAAAAAAAAGAGAAGGAAAGCAATTTTTCTTTTCTTTTTCTTCTGAATTCCATGAACCAAGCATTGCGTAAGAAGAGATTGAAAGGAAAAAACAGAAGAGAATCAATGATTTTGTTACCATCTATCGCCATATTTCTCAGAGTGGCAGCGATCATTGAGCCACGAGATGAAACTGATTATGCTAACCAGCTGAATCAGTAGAAACACACTGCAAAGTGGAAACACATTTAAGAAACCAGAGTTTTTTTTCTTTCTCATTTGCAGTAGATTAGCAAGATTAGTT